AATTATTCAATTCTAATTATGACAAATTGAACTGATAAAAGTGAGTTAAGATCGATACGAAATGATTTCTCAAAATAAACAACAAAATTGATGGGATAACGAGCATTCGTTTTTATTTTTCAATTTTCAATGGATTTCAACGGTTGTATAATGTGTGAAAATATCTATCTTGTCGTCCAAAAAAATGGTTTAAATCGATTCAGACTGATTTTTGCGAGACACTTAATACTGTAAAAACCTCATTTTTAACCTGCATTTTTAATTTAATTTAAATCAAAACATTTTTTGGGGTCATGAAAATTTTAAATAAAAAATAGTTTTGCTCCAAACTTTGCGCAGAAACTTCTACTGAAGAAAAACGTTGTCAGTGTTTTAAAGGATCTATGGTCTCTTGAGGGGATTTTTCACTACAAAATGTAATGTTTTTTGGGATCTTTTCGAGATTCTGCAAGCTATGGTTTACCGCGGTAAATTTAATAATGCAAAGAGTATAGAAAAATAAAATTATAACATCAAATTTGGCTGTGGCTTCGCTCGGTCGGGGGAGGGGGTCGGATAGGTTTGAACACGAACCCATCGGAAGCTTGACCTCCATTGAAATGTATCATGGAGACTGTGCATGGAATCATGTATCAAAAACATTTGAATGATGTGAGCGCCAAATGCACAGCCTCCATCTAGATTAATACTACGGATTTTGTTATAGTGATGATTTTACTATAATTGGTAGGGCATAAAGGGTTTATTGCTCAGAATATTTGAAAAGTGTCGAGAAAAACCCGTTTATTTTTTCAAACCCGTTTATATTTATAGTCTTCTTTCAAGCAAAAAAAGCAAGCGAGCAGCCCTTACAAGCCTAATTCAGTCTTTACAAAGGCTTATTTGAGCCTAATTTATTTTTTTCATGTAAAATTTGTTTTTGGAGTTTTTTAACGCAATTTTGGCAATCAAAAATTTCAAAAAAGTCGATTTTCTACAAAAATTTCTACAAAAATATTGAAAAATTTTTGAATAGTTTTTCGATTTTCGTTTTTATTTTATTGTTGTTTTTCTTAGTCATCTATTTAAAAAAAGTGTTGAAATATTTGCTTTTTTTATGATTATGAAATATGGCCAAGTTGTCTCTTTTCAATTTCTCTCACACTACACAGAAAAAATTTTGTTGCATTTTTTCTGAATATGGTCGGATAACTCTTAACTCTGTGCTAATTTTGTATTTATGGAGTTGTATTTTGATTGTTCTCCATTGCAAACAAATACTCTCCTAAAAACAAATTTGAAAAATTTGTTTTTTGTTTTGTATTTGTTAGTTTCACTAGTTTTGTATTTATTGCAATTGCGGTTTTGATGTTTGTAATTTCCCAGCGTAATTTCTGATGGAATTCAATTTCATATGTTCCAGTCAAAATGTTTTAACTGCTTTTGAATCGATAATTTATACAATCTTGTAGCGACAATTTGTAGCCATATTGTATTGAATTTACAGTTATTTTTCTGAAAATCGTGTTGCTTGGCTCTTTTAATTTTCATTTTGTAAAATTTTTCTTTTGAACTAATGTTATCATAATTTTGTATTGCAAAAGTCACAAATGAGCACCGTGTTTGCTTTTATGTCACAAACAATCCGTCTCAAAGATCGAACCAAAAATTTGGATTTTTCTTTGGAAAAGCGCCCCTTCAAGAAATTTTTAGATCCGCCCCTGTCCCTCGACTAGGTTTTAATTCTGTAAATATTGTTCTGGAGATGGCATGATTGATTTTTCATAAGTTACACCAAAATTATGAAATAACAAGGAAATTTGTTTCAGCTACAAAATCGGTATTGACGAAAAATTTCCGTAAGCTGTCCCGTTTTTTCAGTGAGGACCATTTTTTATTTTTTCTATTTACTCATTGATCTTGGATGCAGATGAAAAGTTTGATTTCCAATCCTCAATTTCTTCCTTTAGTTTTCTATGATTTCCATAATTTTTCATCGAAACAATAAAAAAATTATCTTTATTCCTGAATTTAAAATTGTTCTAATCGAAAAGTTAATTGAAAACACTTCAATAGCAATCAAGAAGATTTTAAAATTGATCTAATTGAAAAGTAAATTGAAAACGCTTCAATAGCAATCAATAGAATCTAGCATTGTGAAACACCTCTTTTTAGAATTCAAAACTTTTGCATGCATACATGTTCGTAGAAAAATAAAATACCATACAGTTTTAAAAATTACATTCAACAATGTTTGTAACCTTATGAATCCACCACAGAAAACCCAGAAATTGCTCTTAAGTGAATATCTTGGAAATGGAATGAAAAGTTGCATCAAACCTGGAATTTGATTAAAAAAAGTCTTGAGAAACAATCATTGCCGACTTCTTCTTATTGTGATACTTTATAAGGCAACAAGAAAATTGATTGGAATGTCGACTAGTAATTTTTCCGAATCCGAGTGCCCTTTTTTCTATGGAATGAAGTCTTAACCAAAAAAAAAAGAAAAAAAATCGGATCTTTTCGAAAGAAACCTCCATCGCCAAAACGCTATTTAGCGCACAAAGTGATATGTTTGGCATATCGTGTTGTATTGTATAGAAAAATAAACATGTGTCAATTAAGTTTTGGTCAATTTTTTGATCGCCCTTTACGCGCTTATAGCACTAAAATAAAAACAGGCACATGAAACGCGTTTTAAACTTGTGTGAAATTTAAGCTCAGAATAATAAATTTCAGATGATGAAAAATATCGTCAAAAATGCTTGTCGAAAACAAAAATTGGTCTAAAGAAAAAAACCTTACGAGTGTATATTAAGTAGTGTTCATCGAAAATCAGAACAAAAATGATACGAAGTAAAGTTACTTCCCCAATCAAATATCAGGATAGACTTCGACAAAATGCTTAATAGTTTCGAAAAAAAATTCTCACTTGTAAGATTGACAAAATTTAAGTAGTGTTCATCGAAAATCAGAACCAAAATGATACGAAGCAAAGTTACTTCCCCAATCAACTATCAGGATAGACTTCGAAAAAATGCTTAATAGTTTCGAAAAAAATTCTCACTTGTAAGATTGACAAAATCAATCACTCAATTTTGCATGTAGAGAAATTATTCCACCTGCTATAATTTTCTAAAAGTTATAGCCATTTTTATGTTATCTTTATATGCTTAAGTTGGTTTTTGTTTGAAATTACGCCGCTCATATAGTTCAAAATAATTATCGCATCTGATTAAAAAAAAACTATTTTAAAGCTGTATTTCGTTTTTCAGTTCCTATTCTGAAGCTAATGTTTTTTTTCAATCAAATAATTTTTTGAATGACTTTGAAAAACTTGCCTGAAAACTTTTTTTTCACGCGAAACTGAACAAGAAACCCATCATTGATAATAAAAACAGGTTTTTTTCTATGGTTCAGTTAACGTATTTTTTTTATTCTATCGAATTTGATTGGAGAAATTTTTCAGTTTTTGTTTTAATGTTCTCTTTCCAGCACTGTACGTACGCTTTGCTTTAATTAAAAAAAAACTATTTAAAAAATCTCGAAGAGTGCGGAATAATTAGCCAGGTTTGATTAAATTAAGATCACTTTTTCACTCGCGGGATTACATACATCATAGACTATCAATTAATATTCGAATAAATTAGTCCGAAGTTTTGGTCGAATCGGCAGTTATAAAAAAATCCTCAAAGCTTAACAAAAAACATTGCTGCTAAATGTTGCATACCTTTTTCTATTTGCACTCAAAGTTTCAGTATCTTAATTGAGGTTTGAAAAATTTTTGCTACCCGGATTGATTAAGAATGCTTATTATACAATTTCAAAAAAGGAAAAAAAAGTTGTAATACAAATTCATTTGAAGTACGTAAATTTTTTGGAAAGAAAATAGCTTTTCTGTACAATGAAGCACTATCATAAGTTTTCGCCCACACGCTGGATTTAGTTAACAAAATTTTTCGCCATATTTTTTGTTAATTTTTTTGCGCAATTATTTTAAACTATGAAATTGTTTGATAGTGGTTTTTTCCCGAAAATGAAAAAATTTCTGACTTCAGTTATGAAGTTTTGAGTGCTGTTCAAAAACCCAGGACCTTCTTGGCTAAGCATAAGCAATGTTTTGAACTATTAACAAGTTTGGCAAGCGTTGTTTTGGTTCTATGAAATTTCAAACGCTTTTTTTTCCATTTACTAAACTCCAAACGTTCTCGGAGATTCACGTCGAAACTTTATGTTTCATCTAAGAAAAGTTCACAACACAGATAAATACCATGCACTTGATGATTTGACAAGAAAACTAATGCTTTGACTTTCACAATATTTCTGGACAAAAAAGACGTAACTTTTTGTAAATGGCTAGAACGCAGATATTCCGAAAACTTATATATATGGGTGTATAAACACTATATTGTGAATAAAAAAACCCTTGCTTGTAATTGTTGGATTTTTCTTGTGTGAAAACTCAGTCTGAACTACGCTATAGACACAGAGTATCAAAATTCTATGTAATTTTTCCCGTGAAATGTTTATTGCGAGTTTGCAATCAGACTCGCTTAGAACAATGAATATCAACAACTTTTATATGTGAAAAAGACAGAATAAAAATTTTTTGCTAAAAAAAAACATTTTTGATGCCAAATTTGCAATTTCATCAATTAAAAATCTACAAAAGTTAGTTTTATTTGGTTTTAAAAAAATTTTAGGATAATTTTTGGTATCGTGTATGTATCATAACCTTCTTTGGTAATCGTATGTTAAGAATTTTTCTCATCGATTTCATATATCAAACTCTATGATAGGCCTTTTTCTGGTATGGGCAACAACTTGGGTAAAAAACAAAATTTCGATCACCGAAAAAGGTCTGAATGAAAAATCCGCTTCGGCCAAAAATTGTCTCACTTTATTTAACATTCGGAGCAAAACAAAAAAGTTTTTCAAAGATTATTCTAAGCATATTTAACACAGAACTTGACATAATACGTACTTCAGGTGGTGAGAAAATTGGGAATACCGCCAAAACAATGTCGGATCAAAAAGGTGATATTGGATCCGATTACAATCCCTTTGAACCCGCTTGGAATGACACAACGAGTACGACAATTGAGCCCGATGGAGCGACGGAGAACTTGAGCTACATAGTTCTCGTTCTGTCTCTTCTGTGCGCTCTGGGTTGTTTGAGCCAGTTGGTTGTCATCTTCATCGCTAGAGGACTGCAAGGAGACTACTCTGCTAAGACTTTTCTCCAAGGATTCTTTTCTTTTCCAGCCCCCAGAGCCCACCTATGGAATCTTTGAAATATTCGACAATTTTCCATTGTTGCCAATTTTCCATTGAAAAAGTTGCCAATTTTCTGTTCCAAGTTTTTGCCAATTTTCTGTTCCAAGTTTTTGCCAAATTTTTGTTTCATTTTTTTTGCCAAATTTTGTTCCGGTCTGATCATAGATAGCTGCTGAACAAACGTCAAAAACGCGAGGAAGACTATTATTCATTAGTTTTTTCGGTGACTCTAGCGGCTCTTTTCCATTTCATGTAGTTCTTGATAAGAATTTCACGCACTCTTCTTTCTTACAACATAACTGAGCTTTCTGTATAAAATATGGCCATCATATGCCCAGCAGCAAGTTATTGACCATATGAAAGAAAAATCACAATATTTAAATTTTTTACGTGGCTGGCAAGAGGAATCACCAATTTTTTAAGGCTTCTCGTCAAAAAAATTTGCAAGCTACTGTTTCAAATGCAAATCTTTCAAATCGAGATGTCGAATAGTTCACTATGGTAATTGCTTCCAAATTAAAAGTTTCAGGGTTTGGTGTCCTGAAGGCAAAAAAAGACTGTCATAAAACTGAATAAAAAATATTAAATTCTTTTTGGTTCAAAAATCTGTCCTGAATCAGAAGAAACTGAACAATTCGAAACCGATACCCTATATATTGCACCAGCCAATCGGAGAATTTTTTATGCAGATCATCAATTTGATTAGATAGAAAACATGATTTTGATCATCTTGATTTCAACATTTTTCAACCAGGGAGAGAATTGAAATATATATTGACCCGTAATGAATAAATCTTTTTTAAATAAAATCACAGTCTGGTTTGAAAATTGAGGCTAGATAAATTCTTAAAAACTTAAAATGGAATTCTATTTTGATTTCAAAAAATAAACTTCAAAGTTTGTGAATTTATAATCAAAATAAAATGACCAAAAAGAACCGACTTATTAAACAGCACATTAATAATTGGCTTCTTTTCGCTTAATGTTTTCTCAGAATTTTTTCTTTTAATTTAAGGGATTGTTGTACGGGGACTGGAAATTTTTGCGAGAAAGCTCTGTCGGTTGCTCAAATTGTGCAACAGTTGTCAATGATCTACTACTCAATCTGCGGCTACAATGGTTAGGTTTTTGTTAGTTTTACAAAAATATTCGTCTTGACAGCAATTACCAAGAACTGAAAATAATTTTAGAGAACTGCACGACCTAGAATTCTTGAAAAGATGCGATAATTATTCACTTTTTGCAAAAGAAAAATATACATTTCTTGATGACAGATTATGCTTCATTTTCATGTTTGATAATGTTTGCCTTTCTGTTGAATTTTTATACCTTTCTAGTTGTCAAGTCAGGCCAGAATTTTTTAACCCCGATTTTTTGCAGGTAGAAAGCATCTAAAATTTCTGCCTCGTTTCGGTTCCGAGGTAGATCGGTTTCGGGTAGCTGGTTGATTGGCAACATTTCATTTCATGCGTAAATTAACCGTAACTATCGGAAATTTCAAGTCAACAAAGAATATCGAACTGCCATAAATTTCGGAATTTAAAAGCAGAATTCAATGTCATAAAATACGCAAAAAATCATTAAAAAATCAACTTTAAAATAGCGCCCGAACAATTTGTTAACTTTGTTTCGGTCTTTCAGTTGTCGAAATTTTTCACACCCTGTTAATCGTTCACCAGAAAATTTAGTTGTTACGACCTTGTTTCTTCTCGCTATGATTTCTAACGAGAACATCTAGCCATTCAAAAAACGCTTTTTAATCCTTATTCTGAGTGGGTTCAAAAAATAATCCATATGGAAAATCTTCAAATGCAGTTTGCTTGTGAGATTGTTGTTTCTTAGCTTTTCTTAGCTGAAAAAGTTTTGCTTGAATTGTTTTTGGACAAAACACAAACGTTTATAAAATTTATTTAAGGGAAAAATGCTTTTCATAATATTTCATTGTATGGAATAAAAACTTCTCAGACAAGTTCACATCATAAACAAGGATAGCCGGTTACTGTCCAAATGGCACAGAATATTCCGATCCTAGTCTTAAAAAAATTACAACAAAGTTTTTTCAAATTAATGAAGTTTTTTTTTCGGCGTGATGTGATAAAAAGAGCTGAACAAAAAAAGTGGAAACTAATTATATTCGACAGTCATTCCTTCCCATTTTCGATGGTTGGAAAAAACCGTTTATTAATTAATTGCTTGAATTTTTTTTAGCCCTAGTAGGGAATGTTATGAAAAGCATTATTGTCAACG